TGTTCCTTGGGTCCCTACCTGGCTTCATCCCAGCCACAGCACATGCTAGAGTGCCCTGGAGGTCACCGCAGCCCCTGGCAAGCCTCAGAAGGACAGCCTCTCAGCTGGGGACAGCTTGTACACAGCATGTTCTGGCCATGTTCCCAACACTTGGGCTGCAAGAGGCAGGTGTTGTAAGAGCAGCTATGCTGGCCCTAAACCCTCTGGGGGACTCCTCCAAGCTGGGGAGATGCAGGCAGTTTCAACTGTAAGGGACTGGAGCAGGACTGTACCTCTGGCCCTCTCCTCAGGTTGCAGAAGCATCTGAAAGTCCAGATGCCCATCCAAAGAGCATCTGAACCTCTCTGAAAGAGACATTGGGCTGGACAGATCAGACTTTCTTGAGATTTCCAGCACTCTCTGGTTTGGGCACCCAAGGAAAGCTTACCTCACTGTATTTCAGTATCCCAGCTTCTGGACGCAGGCTGGAGCACAAGCAGGGCACAGAAATGGTCTTTTAAACAAAATTAAACCCAACTTTTCAAACCTCAAAGAGAAAGCAGTTTGGGGTTGGCTCTTACTGTTCACGAAATGGCTCATCCCTAAGGCTAAGATTTTGTCATGGTTATTTTTAGTAAAAGTCACAGACAGGTCACTGGCAATAAATAAAAATTCACAGAAACCTGTGACCTGTCCCTGACTTTTACTAAAAATAACTGTGACAAAATAGGGAAGGAGGGTCCAGCAGCCACCGCAGCTAGGGCTCCGGGGTCCCCCCTGATGCTCACGGTGGCTGAGAGCCCTGGATTAATGACTATCAGGTACTCAAATAGCCCTCATCACTGTAGTATCTAGATTAGAATGCTATAAACAAAGATAGTGTCTGTATTTCAGAACAGACTTTTCAGAAAACATGGTGACTCTGAAACAAATAACAATGCATCCGATGAAGCGAGCTGTAGCTCACGAAAGCTTATGCTCAAATAAATTTGTTAGTCTCTAAGGTGCCACAAGTACTCCTTTTCTTTTAACAATCCTGTAGTGAGGGTTGCCAATGTTGATTGGATGCATTCCTGGAGGTTTCATCACATGGCATATCCTTTAATTAAATAATCTTTAATTCCTGGAGACTCCAGGACAATCCTGGAAGATTGGCAACCATACCTGTAACCAGAATGGTTCTCCCTCTACATCTGTATCTTCCTGCTTAAGAGCAGTCACCAACACCAATGCAGGATCACAGCGCCACCTACTGGGCCATGCAGTTTGCAGCCCCTATTCCAGGAAATGGTCCCAGCAGATACATCAACAGCCCCTAAAAACAGAACCTCCAACCCCCACAGAAAAAAAAAACAAACAAACCTCTGCAAATGTTGTTTCAGAAAAACAAGCTACCTCCTTGATAAGACTCCATGGAATTAAAGCATGTGCCAAGTAACTGAGAATGAGCCCCAATAAGTTACTTGATTGTGTAAAATGTAAGCAGAAATGTTAGTCTTCTTGCAGCTTCATTAATCAATTGCAAACTTCTCAGAGAGCTAATCTCAAACCCTAAAGTTTACATGTTAGCATCATCCCTCTCTGGGTGGATAACTGCCCAGCCCTCTAGGAAAGCAAGAATTCTGGGAGTGCCAGTGGCTCCTTCACAGCTGTCACAGCCGTTTTGAAAAGTTTCTGCACCAAAAAGAGTTTGGCCAAAGGAGTATCAAGCACTGTGGAACACACTAGACAAACACGTTCCCTGAGCTGGGACATGCTGGCCAGTAAACCCAGCCACATCAGGGATAGAACAGGATTTCTCCCCACTCCTGTCCTTAAGAGAAGATCAGCAGTGTCACATGATCTTCTGTACCACAGAATCACAATACAATGGCTGTGATGTAATCAGTTTTCTAAAAAAGAGAGACAAATGTTGGAAGATAGTAGTTGCCCTGCTGGATTAGACCATGACCCTGCCTAGTACAGTGTCCTGTTCTTGGCTGAGGCCAGTAATCAATGATTCAGAGGAAAATAACGCTCCTTGCCACCCGTTCATTTATCTGCACAGGGGCAGCTTGTTCTGGACTGCTGCAGGTGACCACTTACGCCTAGAAGAATGCGGTATGATGATACTGAAGCCTCATCTAGTCATTAAATCACCCAGTCATTAAATCACCCAGTCATTAAATCATGCTTTTAAAAATCCTGCTGGAGTGAGTTATAGGTTGTCTATATGCTCCATAAATAAGTACCATCTAGTGGCTGCACCCATTGCTGAGTCTGAGAACTCCGTTGAAACTCAGTTTAAAAAGACAGTTCTAGGTCTCCATTTAGGTGGAAGTGGTTTTTTTGTTGTTTTTTTAAACAGCTTGGTCTCTCCCTCGCTGGCCTGCAAAACTGCTAAGAATCATCTCAGCTGGAATGGGGGTAAAACTAAGACAAAACATGGTTCCCCAACTCACAAACCCTGGGTGAGCATCACTGCAGATGCAGCCCTGCTGCTCTTTCGTTAAATTTCTCTTAGCATGTTCACATGAAGTAGGGTCCTTTTCTATTTTGAAGGCTTTTGGATACCAGATGCACTTTTGGGGGAAAGAAGGGGCAGGGACATGATTGTGCAATAGGCAACAGCGGGACCGAGGTAAAGGCTGGGTTGTGAGTGATGGTGGGGTGGCTCTGGCTGGGATCCAGGCTGGGGTTTGGGCATTGGCACATCAGTCAGGATTGAGGTGACTTGCAAAGTTGCGTGCAAGACTCCAGAGGGAAAATGAGAATGAAGGAGCGGGCAAGAGTGAAAGAGTGATTATGAAAGCAGCGGAGAGAGAGAGGGAGGATGAGAGTGTGCTGCTGTTTAGTAAAGTCCTTGGAATCTGGTGGTGCTTTCTAAACAGCCTCACACGTATTTGCTGAGGCTTGATGTAGGCAGCACTGACGCAGGTCCCAACTAAGTGTCTGGGAAGGCACTCACAGCCCAGCCTTGGAGGATATCCCAGCAGCATGTCCTCCTGTGCTCAGAGACCGCAGAGGTCACCAGCTGGATATTTCCATCCCATGAGTGTGCGGTCCATTCTAATGACCTCTAGGAGCTTTCCTCTGAGACCAGCTCAGACTCCTTGACTTGGCTATTCCTTCCTGCTGGCCAGGAAAGGAGCTACTGACTGCGAAACAAGAAAGCAACTTGGCTTTAAATCCTTCCATTACTTATAACAGACTGCTCTGGCTCTCCACGCCAGTGAATTCTTCCCCTGCTCTTTCAGGCATCTCTACTGCTTGAGTCACTTCCCCTGATAGAACAAGAAAATAAACCTTCGCTATTCCAGCTGCACTACTTGAGGAGCCAGGAGACCTGGCTGCTATTCCAGGCTAAGCCACTGGCCTGTTGCATGACCTTGGGCAAATCACTTCTCCCTGTGACTAAGTTTCCCCACCTGTAAAATGGGGATAATGCTTGTGACCTCCTTGGTAAAGTGCTTTGAGATCTATGGGTAAAACATGCTACATTGGAGCTAGGTATTATCATCTGATGGGGAGTGTGGATGAGGGTTTTGATTCAGGCCCACTGCAATACGTAAAAGAATTATTTTACTCTTTACCAGCAATTCTTGTGTGTGATGGTTTGAACTGAGGCTCATTTCCATCTACAGAACATGCAGCACTGGTTTTATTAGGTTTTTATATTTGTTACCTGTAACATTCACAATGTGCTAGGTGTTATATAAACAGAAAGCTCAAACTGAATATCGGAAGCTTTTCTCCCAGTCCTCTAGAGCAGTGGTTCTCAAAGCTGGTCCGCCACTTGTTCAGGGAAGGGAGGCCAGCACGCCCCTTGGCCCGCAGCCCCCACTGGTCTGGAGCAGCGAACCGCGGCCAGTGGAAGCTGCAATTGGCCGAACCTGCGGACACGGCAGGTAAACAAACTGATCCAACCCGCCAGGGGCTTTTCCTAGAGCAGTGGTCACCAACCAGTCGATCACAATCGACTGGTCGATCCTAGAGGAACTCCCAGTCGATCGCAATCTCCGGCAGCAGTGCAGTGTGGCTGCCGCTAAGGCAGATTCCCTGCCTACCCCGGTCCCACAGAAGCTCCCAGAAGCGGCCACTGCAGCCCCACGGCCCTGGGGTCTCCCTCCACGCGCTGCTCCTGCCTGCAAGCATCGCCTCTGCAGCTCCCATTGGTAAAGCTGCGGGGACAGTGCTTGCAGAGAGAGGCAGCATGTGGAGCCACGTGCCCCTCCGCCTCCCGCACCCCAGGGGCCACAGAGGCATGTTGGCCCCTTCCAGGAGTGGTGTGGAGCCAGGGTAGGCAGGGAGCCTGCCTTAGCCTTGCTGCACCTGCCACCAACCAGGAGCTACTGGAAGTAAGTGCTGACTGGCGGGAAGCCACACCCCAACCCCCATCCCTGAGCCCCCTCCTGGAGCCAGCACCCCATACCCCCTCCTGTACCCCAAGCCCCCTCCTGCACCCCAAGCCCCATCCCTGACCCCCCTCCCCGAGCCAGCACCCCATACCCCCTCCTGCACCCCAACCCCCGCCTCAGCCCTGACCCCCCTTCCAGAGCCGGCACCCTGTACCTCCTCCTGCACCCCAACACTCTGCCCAAGCCCGGAGCCCCATCCTGCACCCAAACTCCCTCCTAGAGCTTGCACCCCTCACCCCCTTCTACACCCCAACCTCCTGCCCCACACTCCGTCCAGAGCCCCCTCTCACACTCTGAATCCCTCGACCCCAGCCCAGAGCCCGCACCCCCTTCCGAACCCCAACCCCTTGCCCCAGTGAAAGTGAGTGAGGGTGGGGGAGTGAGTAGAGCAGGTCTTTGGGGCCTCGGGGAAGGGGCGGGGTAGATCCTGGGTTGCCCTTAGATTCAAAAAGTGATCTTTGGAGTAAAAAGGTTGGAGACCACTGCTCTAGAGCTAAAATAACAGGACCTAAAGTAACAGGACTCTGGAAATAAACCAAGGATGGCAGAAAGAGCTACTCTTTCTAAAGTATCAGGGGGTAGCCATGTTAGTCTGTATCCACAAAAACAACAAGGAGTCCGGTGGCACCTTAAAGACTAAACAGATTTATTTGAGCATAAGCTTTCGTAGGTAAAAACCCCACTTCTTCAGATGCATGGAGTGAAAATTACAGATGCAGACATAAATATACTGACACACGAAGAGAAGGGAGTTACCTCACAACTGGAGAATCAGTGTTGACAGGGCCAATTCGATCAGGGTGGATGTAGTCCACTCCCAACAATAGATGAGGAGGTGTAATGAGCCAGCCACTCCCAGTCCCTATTCAAGCCCAAATTAATGGTGTTAAATTTGCATATTAATTTTATTTCTGCTGTTTCTCTTTAAGTCTGTTTCTGAAGTTTTTTTATTCAAGTATAGCTACTTTCACGTCTGTTATAGAATGTCCAGGAAGATTGAAGTGTTCTCTCACTGGCTTTTGTATGTTACCATTCCTGATGTCCAATGTGTGTCCATTTATTATTTTACATAGGGACTGTCCGGTTTGGCCAATGTACATGGCAGAGGGGCATTGCTGGCACACGATGGCATATATCACATTAGTAGATGTGCAAGTGAATGAGCCTCTGATGGTGTGGCTGATGTGGCTGGGTCCTCTGATGGTGTCGCTGGAGTAGATATGGGGACACAGTAGGCAACGAGGTTTGCTACAGGAATTGGTTCCTGGGTTAGTGTTTCTGTGGTGTGGTGTGTAGTTGCTGGTGAGTATTTGCTTCAGGTTGCGGGTTTGTCTGTAAGCGAGGACTGGCCTGTCTCCCAAGGTCTGTGAGAGTGAGGATCATTTTCCAGGATAGGTTGTAGATTGTTGATAATGTGCTGGAGAGGTTTTAGCTGGGGGCTTTACGTGATGGCCAGTGGTGTTCTGTTATTTTCCTTGTGGGGCCTGTCCTGTAGCAGGTGATTTCTGGGTACCCGTCTCGCTCTGTCAATCTGTTTCCCCACTTCCCCAGGTGGGCACTGTAGTTTTAAGGATGCTTGATAAAGATCTTGTAGGTGTTTGTCTCTGTCTGAGGGACTGGAGCAAATTAAGTTGTATCTTAGGGCTTGGCTGTAGACAATGGATTGTGTGATGTGTCCTGGATGGAAGCAAGAAGCATGCAGGTAAGTATAGCAGTCAGTAGGTTTCTGGTATAGGATGGTGTTTATGTGACCATCACTTATTTGCACTGTATGTCCAGGAAGTGGATCTCTTGTGTGGACTGGTCCAGGCTGAGGTTGATGGTGGGGTTGAAACTGTTGAAATCCAGGTGGAATTCTTCAAGGGCCTCCTTCCCATGGGTCCATGTGATGAAGATGTCATCAATGTAGCACAAGTAGAAGAGGGGCGGTAGGGGACGAGAGCTGAGGAAGCGTTGTTCTAAGTCAGCCATGAAAATGTTGGCATACTATGGGGCCATGCGGGTACCCATAGCAGTGCCACTTACTTGAAGGTATAAGTTGTCCCCAAATCTGAAATGGTTGTGGGTGAGGACAAAGTCACAAAGCTCAGCCACCAGGTGTGCCATGGCCTCATCAGGGATACTATTCTTTACAGCTTGTAGTCCATCCTCATGTGGAATATTGGTATAAAGAGCTTCTACATCCATGGTGGCCAGGACGGTGTTTTTGGGAAGATTACCAATGCATTGTAGTTTCCTCAGAAAGTCGGTGGTGTCTCGAAGATAGCTAGGAGTGCTGGTAGCATAGAGTCTGAGGAGAGAGTCCAAATAGCCAGATAATCTTGATGTAAGAGTGCCAATGCCTGAGATGATGGGGTGTCCAGTCCTCAAGTCTTCAGATACAAGGCTTTCCCCTTCCTGTCTAAAACAAGATTTGCCAAAGAAAGGAGTCGATTACCACTAAATTCTGGTTTAAACCCATCCCACATCCTCCTCACAAAGCATTCCATTATGGATCCCATTGTCTGAGATGAAAAATACTGCCTGTTTGGGAATAATGGCTGCACATGTGCTGGTTTGTTACTGAAAGGTCACTCCGGAGGGCAAGACTGTGCATGCTGGCTTGTTGTTGGAGGGCTGCTCAGAAGCAACAGGCTGCACTCGGTGCTTTGTCATGGTAGGATCACTCAGGAACAACAGGGGTTGCTGGGACAGAACTAAATCTGAAGCATTCGTTCTGGAATCTCCAAGCATACCCGCCAAAAGAATTCATAGGCTTTGAAAGTGGAGGTTTAAAAAAAAATAATTAAAAAGAAGCAGACCTACCAACAACCTTAAGTTCTTTTTCCAGAGCAAGACCTAAGCTGTTCATTATGAACTAAAAGTGCCATCCGATGCATGGAGAAATTGTATTTTTATCATATGTATTTGCAGCATCAACAAAAATGAGATGCTTGGAATTGAGATTCCCTCTATGCTAGGTTCTCATACTTATTTCTTGCTTTAGCTGACTGAGCTAATAATCGGTGTCGGACCATCCATGGGAGCTGAAACACCTCTGCAGACTCAGACCTCTGCCCCACCTCCTTTCTAGTGATCCTTCAAGTAAAATCCTCTGTCAGCAATGGATGCACCAGTGACCATCTGCAGAGATCGGAATGCTGGGAAATGCAGTGGAGGGTCCGGTTCCTATTGCTGTGCAGGGATCCCATAGACTACTCAGCAAAAAACTCAAGGGAGATGAACACTGGATCAAGCAAAGCTGTTCTTGTTGATGCAGTCACCTGCTTTATGCTTTTGGATGTGTAGGAACCTCGGCCTGTTGGGGACAAGAATGAACATGGCATTGCATTTTGTCAGGGAGAATATGAATCCACACCCACCATATAAAGCCACAATTTTCCATGAACGGTAATCCCATCAGATAATGTCAACACTAAGATATGTCAGGAATGCTTGGCAGTGCCCCCACTTCAAGGTAAACTAGAAGTTTGCGGAGTTCGAAGAATGCAGGTGTTTAGGAAGGGGGTGCACGAAGTTGGTGACTGAGTCCCTCTGAGTTTAACCTCAAGACACGAGGATGCAGAGGGCAACTGTACCCAGGGCTGGATGCAATTGCATAAAGTTGAAGGGAACAGTCGGTGAAAAAGAAAACACTTACTTGCCAAAGAAATCCTTGTGGATGGCAGAGACAGAAAGAGACAGGTCAGGGTGACTCTGCAGCCAGTTCTCCACCATCTCTGGGTGTCTGGGATCAACTTCTAGAAACACACTCCTGAAAACATGTGTGTGGGGATGTGGAGGGGAAACAAACACATTTTGTTTGACCAGCTTGGAAATATAGACTCTCTCTATAAAGACACCAGACTCTCTTTCCTAGGATGGTCCAGATGTCTTCATAACTCAGCCTGACAGAATCACCCTCATAAAACGACCAATTATAAGAACACACGAACGGCCATACTGGGTCAGACCAAAGATCCATCTAGCCCAGTATCCTGTCTTCCGACAGTGGCCAATGCCAGGTGCTTCAGAGGGAGTGAACAGAGGAGGTAATCATCAAGTGATCCATCCCCTGTCGCCCATTCCCAGCTTCTGGCAAACCGAGGCTAGGGACACCATACGTGCCCACCCTAGCTAATAGCCACTGATGGATCTATTCTCCAAGAATTAATCTAGTTCTTTTTTTAACCCTGTTATAGTCTTGGCCTTCACAACATCCTCTGGCAAAGAGTTCTACAGGTTGAACACATAGCAGGGGATCGTACAAAGGAGAGAGGGGGACAGGGAAAGGATCTAGATAGGAGGAAGGATGGTCTAGGGGTTAGGCCGCTAGCCTGGGACTTGGGAGACTGCGGAAAATTCCCTTTTTTGCCATGGACTCTGTGTGACATTGGGCAAGTCTCTCTGGGCAAGTCTCTCAGTCCCCCTTCTCTAAAAAGGGGATGGGAGTCCTGCCCCGCCTCACTAGACTCGGATACTATGGTAATGGGGACCATCTAAGTACCTAACAGACAGAGATGAGGCTAAAAGGGAGCGCGTGATGATGGAGGCCACTGCAGTATGAACGACTGTGATCCTGAAGCACTAGGATGAGTGGAGAGGGCTGGCCAGACCTGAGGTACACAGGTGTCTGAGTCCCCTCTCACAGCACCTTCACACCAGGGTAGCAACACTGAGGGAAATGGTGTCACACCACCAGTGTGACAGGAGCCTATATCTCCAGGCTGCTTGTCTGAATCTGGTCACCTGACAAGTGGTGCTCTACACATGATGTGGTGTTGGTCTCAGTCCAGTTCCTATTGGACAGGGACCCAACTCAAAAAAGCCACCACCTCGCCAGATGGCCCCCTTGCCGGATGTCTCAGCAGAGAGGCCAAAGACTAGCTGGGCCTGGACTCTATACTCTACATTGCATCCATTGATGTAGGTGCTGCAGGTTGCACATGACTCACATCAGCAGGGAATGACACTGCAGGTTTGTGCTGCTGCTGCTCATACCGTTCCAGCTTGGTGAATACTTAGGGCACATCAGTTTCCAGAACTGTCAACCCAGCAGCTTTCAGCAGCTGTAAATTCACTCCAGTATCAAACTAGGGACCTAGGAATATATAGCTTTCCATGTACACAGGTAGTGCTATCACTGAACTATCTGAATTCACCCCTAGTCTTCTGGAACTGATTACAGCTTTTGGCAGTTTCGTAGGCTATACCAAACTGCAAAAAAAGAGCCAAACCCCAACCATATGCTCCTCTGAAAATCCCCAAACCTTCCCACACTGAACACTTTCTTTACCTCAGCCAAATTAATTACATGCCTGGATTTGGATCTCATTCCTGACCTTAAAAACTCCCTCCCATCAACATTGGCTCTACCTTAAAATACAAAATAAGCACTCTACAGAGCTTAATCCTGTGAAACTCTGAAGAGGATTTTGTGCTTTAGTGGTCACATCAAAGCTCTAAGAATGAATATGGCTCCATGTCTGCACCCCTATAGCACAATGACACTGAATATTCCTGGTCCAACATTGCACAACAGGAGATTTTCAATGAATTCTCTTGGGCTGGTGAAAAGTCAGGACTGACACAGAAGACACTTAGAATGTCCTGGCTAAGTGGAGGGCTCCAGTGCTGATCTCTAGTATCTCATGAGGGACATCACAAGGTAGTGAATGGAAGCAGGAAATCTCCTTGTCATTTATCATGGAGAAGATTAATCCCTCAAGAAACAACCCCTGGGATCAGAGTAGCAGCCGTGTTAGTCTGTATCCGCAAAAAGAAAAGAAGTACTTGTGGCACTTTAGAGACTAACAAATTTATCTGAGCATAAGCTTTCGTGAGCTACAGCTCACTGCATCCGATGAAGTGAGCTATAGCTCACAAAAGCTTACGCTCAAATGAATTTGTTAGTCTCTAAGGTAACACAAGTACTCCTTTTCTTTTAACCCCTGGGATGTTTTTTTCCCCCTCCTGGGGTGTTTTATAAGATATCTTACCACAGTCCATAAATATCAGTGACCCAGGGGTGTCTACAGTGCTTCTCTCTCCAGATATCTCTCCGCTTAACCGTCTTCTTCTTTTCTGCTCTCCCTTTTCATCTCTTCCCCTGCTATTCTCTTCTCTCTGCTTTTCCTCACTTCTTTAAGTTTCAGGTACCCACTTAAATAATGACCAAGCAACAATACCAAGCAGCTGGGGTCACCAGCATGGTGCATAATCCCCTGGCTGATTGTATTAATATCAGTAATTCTTTACTAATGCACGTGACATTCTTATGTTAAGAGGGAATGGCTTTTTTCCCTCTTTTCTTATGTGCATTTGACTCCCCCTCGTATTTGCTTATATTTCTGATCATAAAAAAGTGTGAGGTGGGAATAGGCAGAAGATATGAAAAGTCAAATGTAGACAGGCATTAGGATTTTAGTTATGTATCAGCGCTTACCCATGATCCTTCAGGATACAAGGAGCCAGAGCCAGAATTTTTTTGATCACTGTCATCCCATCATTTCCCCCATCCAGGGCACCAAGGTCCTCATAGCTGGAGGTTGAAGACAAGGGATGAAATCTCTCCATTATCCATCATTACACACAGCAGTAAAATGTGGTGTTAGTAGCATCTCCCACTGGGAACAAGCACTAGAGGGGTCTCTGGGCACATGGCACATGAAAGCGATGGCTTGTGGGGCTGCGTCCCAGTGGAAAAGTCACAGTAACTTTGGAATCTGTAAAGAGGGAAGATTGTAAGACCCCTCTGGTGACTCAGATGGGTGGTATGTGTAATAGAGGAAGTTATTCAGAGATTGCCACTGTGACTAGGCTGAGAGAGTCTTGGGGCAAACATCATCAGGCATTCTTGATCTCCTGATGACCGCTATAGCACTGCTCCTGCCGGTCACGTTTAATAACAACAGTAGCAGTAATTCTTAGCTTTGGCACAGGCCTTTTCCTCTCAGAGTGCTTCACAAAGGTGGATAAATGTTTTACTCCCATTTTACTTTGAGTAAACTGAGGGGGGAAGAGGTTAAATGATTTGTTTCAGGTGCCACAGCATATTCAGGGCGGAACATGGACTAGAAACCAGGTCTCCTCACTTGCCATCTGGTGCCCACCACGCTGCCTCCTCAGCTTAAGGGCGCTCACCAGAACTGCAACTCACTTGGCCAGTAAGTGGCATTATTATTATTCAGTGCTTCAATTGGGCTGCTAGGTGCAATTATATCAATCCATACTTCTCATTGGTGCCAGTTGGAAGGGAAAAGTGGGTGGGTGAGTAGGCAACAGGGCAACGTATCACTTTTTCTCCAGGCTCAAGCACTGCCAACAGCCAAGTTGAGCTGCCATCTAACCTAACACACTGTGGTACAATACAGAAGGATCTACTTAGTTCAGAAAAGTTTGAATTTGCACATCATTATGACAGGAAGTTTCCACCTTTCAGGGATGGGGGTGATTTGTTTTTGTTATGGGGGGGAGGGAATACCTGGCATCATGCCAGACGTTGGGCTCAGGAACCAGTTCTAACCTCCAGTTAAATCAATTTTGTGGGAAACAGGCAAAGAGGAAGGTGATGTATCGCATCACATCATAGGTCCAGCTACTGTCCCCAAATGGCCTTACTCAGAGCTTTTTCATTAGACAAAAGCCTTGTAACAGATGGTGGCTCTTGTTATAGCTATCAGTGGAAAGCAAGTCAGTTCTAAGCTCTTGCCCCTCTGAGCTGCAGCCTGATTACTACAACTGGTCCACTGAACCCTGAGGGAAACACTACCCAGGAGACATTAGGGAGTGTACTACGGTGAGTTAGCACGGGAATTTGCCAGGCATTCAACACCACTCCTGCTCTCCCAGAAACCAGGGAAAGTGTTTCCAGCTCACAGACCCTTTCTCTAAGTCATGTAGCGTTTTCACATGTCTTCTGCCCAATTCCTCACAGTATCAGAAGGAGGCAAGCTCACTAGGGAACAAATGGGCCAAGAGGGAATCTCTGAACTAGGTCTGAAGGAGAGAAAATACCAAGATCCTCAGTTTGTGCAGGAATTAAAGGGACGGGCTTCCAAAAAAGTGTATAGGCAGGTGGTTGCCCTTCTTGGACTGCATTCCGCCACTCCCCATCCCCGACGGATATCTCCTAACTTGTTAGTACTAAATACCTGAAACTTCTCTACAGAGAACAGAAGAGGGTGAAATAATGCATGGGAAAGAGAAAGATAGAAAGGTCTTATCTGACCACCTGAGGATCTCTTCAGCCAGGTGAGTCATGTCTCCATGGAAGACATAAGGTGGGTTACTGACTATAGTGTCCACAGGACCCCAGGGGAGGAGCTGCTCCCAGGAACCTAGAGCAGAAAAAGAATGAAAACCAAATCTCAGCCATAAATATGTACCTTCAAAACTCATCACTCAAGTAAGATCTTGATAACAGTGACTCTATAGGCACAGGTTTGTCTCTCTCTCTATGGACAGGATTTAATTTCACATTTTTGTTAGACTAACCTGAATTGGTTCACCTTCATTTAAAGGGCATGTCTACATTGCAATCCCAGGTGATGGCATCTTGGGTAGACAAGTCTGTGCTTGCTTCATCTATGTTAGCATTGCTAAAAATAGAAGTGTAGACGGCGGCATGGGCTTCAGTGCAGGCTAGCAATGAGAGTATGTCCCCAAGGTCCTGGGTGGGATTGCACAACCTATGCTGAAGCCCATGCCACCATGTCTGGCCTGCTATTTTTAGCAATGCTAGAGTAGGTCTGTCCACCCAAGCTGTAAATGCACCATAGGCTGCTGTGTAGACATACCCACAGAATACGATAACAGAGAGCTAAGCACATGGAAAGAACCAATCATTCACACAAACAATGTGCTGCAACACAATGCCTTGATGTAGTCGAGGATATTGAATCCATCTGGATCCAGAGTGAAGAATACCATACTCATCTGAATAGGATGCAAATGTTAAGCGCACAGTTGTGCACACATTCTCCTCTGTACACCGGTGCCTCTGCAAACTGAAAGTACGGCCAGGAGAGCTTTGAAGATACAAGCTTGTACTGAAGAGTCTGACTCTCAGTTCTCACAATATGTTTCCTCTGCTACTTCAATACTGTACTGACACCTGACATTCCACAGCAGCATAGGGACCTGTGCCCCTCTCAGGTGCACAGTGTGTTACCAGCCTGCAGTCAGCCATATGCAGGCGTGAAAGTAACTTAAAGGACTTACCAGTACGCCGGAGTCCTGAGCAGGGGGCGTGGCCTCAACCAGAAGAGGCAGGGCCTCAACCAGAAGAGGCAGGGCCTTTACATTCCCTGGCCCTTTAAATCACCGCTGGAGCCCTCCCGCCGCTATTCCAGGGCTCTAGCAGCGGGGCTCAGGCAGTGATTTAAAGGGCCCGGGGTTCCCCACAGCGGTCGGAGCCCCGGGCCCCTTAAATCACCGCTGGAGCCCTGCCACCGCTACCCCAGGGCTCTGGCAGCAGGGCTCGGACAGTGATTTAAAGGGCCTGGGACTCCGGCCACTGTAGGGAGCCCCGGGTCCTTTAAATTGCTGGCCTGGGGAAGCTGGTCCGGTCTGGCACGGTGTACTGGCTCTTGTCGGTATGCCGTACCATACCGGCTTACTTTCACTTCTGGCCATATGCACATAATGTGAGATGAGATCTAAGCGTAGCAACAACCAGAAACATGCACATGCCAGAGCTGTCTCCTGAGTTACCCATCAGCCAGGATTTGGTCATTCCTGCCCCAGTTGCCTATTGTTTTCATGCCCACCTCCCCTCAGTAAAATAAAATGGAGAAAACATCAGGGGAGGTAGAAATATAAAAAGAAATTACCGGAGGAGACATTGTAGCGGAGAATTCTTATCCTGTCCTGTAGCTGCAACCTGCAGGCTCAAGAACAGAGAAAGTAAGAGATACACTCAGGTCATTCAATGGCACACAATTAAGGCTAAGATTTTGTCACAGAAATTTTTAGTAAAAGTCAGGGACAGGTCATGGGCTTTCAAGAATTTTTCTTTATTGCCCGTGACCTGTCCCTGACTTTTACTAAAAATATCCCTGACAAAATAGGGAGCCGAGCTGTGGGCTCCCCACACTGCCTGCAGAGGTTGGGCAGCTGCAGGGGCCGCTCTGAACTCTGGGGCTTTGAAGGACCCCCAGCAGCTCAGAACACTGGGGGCCTGGCTCAGAACTCCGGGAAACCTCTACCATCTGTGGCAGCTGGAACCTTTGGGGTACGCCCGCAGAGCTGCCGGGGCTCCCGCTGCTCGCAGTGGCTGGGAGCTGTGAGGGGCCCACACTGCCCGAGGCAGTCAGGAGCAGCAGCTCTGCCGTCCCGGCCAGCCGGGAGCTCTGAGGGGCCCCCACTGCTCGTGTTTGCTGGGAGCTGCGGGAGGGGGGCCCCGCAATGCCCGCTGCGTCCCCACGGCAGCTGGGAACTCCGGAGGGCCCCTGGCACCTGTAGCCATGAGGAGCTGTGGGGTCCCCCTGCTACAAAGGGGGGACCCGGAAGCTCCCGACCGACAGGGTTGAATTCATGGAGGTCACTGGAAGTCACGGATTCTGTGACTTCTGCAACCTCCATGAAAAAATCATAGCCTTACACATAATTAAATACAGGATATCACACCTACCCATGCAAACCCCAGCCACAATCTGCAGCACTATTACCTAGCACAAAATCTGAGGCAAGTCATGGGTCTGTTCTTTGCTTGCAAAGCAATTAGGTGCAAGTATTCAAAGCAAGGCACAACCTGTGCACCCAGAAAGACCTCTGTGCGCAAGCCCACTGTGCACCTCAAAATTTCCTTTCAAACCCCTGTGCATATCCTTTTGTGAGAAAGTGGGATTTTTTTGTAATATTTGTGTGACCCCTATGCATGCCTCAGTTTCCCCTATATGTTGTACTTTTACACAGTGGCGGGGGAAAGGACTGTTGGTTTGGAGACACAAGTGTGTGTGCTGCCTAGCTGTCTGAGCCTGAATGGGTCATTACAAAGGACTGGCCAAGGCTGACTCCAGTTAAAATGACCCAGAGGTAGATGCATTTCCCCACTTCTCAGCAGGGAAGCTAAGGAGGGACCCCAGCTTGAGAACAAAGGACTGGGAAGGTGTGAGGTGGGGGATAAGAGTTGGCTCTGGAAGGAGTCAGCGCTCTCACCTGGGAACTGACCAAGGAGGTCAGACAGCTTGAGGCAGACAGAGCCTGAACATGGGGTTCACTTTCACTTCAGCTTGGCCGGGCTTTGGCTAACCAGACTAGACTATATGTTAACCGTCAATTCTCTATGCTAAAATAAGGACTTCCTGTGCTGTGTTCCAGCTGACTAATAAACTCTACTGTTCTGATAACGCTGCCTGAGTGGTGCTGTAAATACTTGGCAACGTGCGCTAATCCCCAAAATATTTATGTCTCTACCAGGAGTCTACTTCAGTTGGACTCTCTGAACAGTGGGGTGAGGGGAGAGAAAACCTTTTGTAGTAATAAACACCCATTTTTTCATGGTTTGTGTGTATAAAAACATCTTCTGTATTTTCCACAGTATGCATCCGATGAAGTGAGCTGTAGCTCACGAAAGCTTATGCTCAAATAAATTGGTTAGTCTCTAAGGTGCCACAAGTACTCCTTTTCTTTTTGCGAATAGAGACTAACACGGCTGTTACTCTGAAACCTCTCCGAACAGAGCTCATGGTGTGAAGCGGGAGCATTGAAGCCCCAGAGGTTCAGTCCAGGAGGTGGTGAGGCTGCATGGCCTATTCTGGAGGAAGGGTGAGACCCCTTGGGAGTCTGGCACATTGAAGGGGTTCCTCCTAGAGACTGTTGCAAAGCTGAGGTTGTAGCACCAATCCTGTGGATCTGTGACACCTTTATAGCCTCATCCTCTCCTTTTGCATGCTGTGACAAAGTTCCTCCTCTGCCTTGGTGGGTCCTGCACTTATTGGCAGATTTGCTTGCTTCAGAGATTCATGGCAGCCCTCAGTTTGGCCACTTTTGCTAGTGGCTCAAACCTGTCATTCACTCAGCTAACCTCATCACTGGCCAGCATGGGGAAAAGGAAGGAGAACAATCCCCGTAGTCTCTGCTGATCCACCTAGTGGGTCAGGGGACAGGCCAGGGACCTTCCCCTCTGGTGGGACCCACAGTCCAGGTCAACTCCTCCTGTATCCAATAGGGAGTTAGGGGGACAGGGGGAACCCAGGCCCGCCCTCTACTCCAGGTTCCAGCCCAGGGCTGTGTGGATTGCAGCTGTCTACAGTGTTTCGTGTAACACCTGTGTGACAGCTACAACTCCCTGGGCTACTTCCCCATGGCCTCCTCCCAACACCTTCTTTATCCTCACCACAGGACCTTCCTCCTGATGCCAGATAGTGTTTGTACTCCTCAGTCCTCCAGCAGCACTCCCTCTCACTCTCTGTTCCTTGCATTCCCCTCATTGACTGAAGTGAGGTCCTTTTTAAACCAGGTGACCTGATTAGCTTGCCTGTCTTAATGGATTCTAGCAGCCTCTTGATTGTTCTGGAACCGCCCCTGTTACCTCACCCAGGGAAAAGGGACCTGCTTAATCTGGGGCTAATACAGCTGCTTTCTATCACTCTCCTATAGCCATCTGGCCCGACCCTGTCACAATGCATACACATACATATTCACCTAGTGCACTCGCCACCCCACCTCATCTGTACATTAATTATGCCTGCAAAACCTCCTACGTGCGAACCCACCACACCTGCAAAAAACAAACAAAAAACCCCCAACAACCCTCAATTGCTGGCTTCAGACATGCAAAAATGGGGTTCTGTGAGTGCGAGGGGCACGCGCACGTTTTTCTACATGCCTCTTCTACCCTGCTTTGAAAACCTGGCCCTTGCAAGAGTTGTGAAATGTGAATGTATTTGGCTCTAACGCCACAGTGACATTTAGGTGTTTGCATCTAACATGCAGTGTCATGGTGACATGATAATATCATATGCTCATGTGAGGCAGGGAGTGAAAACAAAAGCATCACAATGCAGCTGATTCACCAGGCAGAACACATACTAAAAGGGTGGGACTTATTTAGGATTAGGTCCATTATGGCGCAATGCTACAGAAAGAGGCTTTAGGGCTTCTCAGGTACAATATCCTTACATGGGCTCTCCCTCCACCCCTGGCACCTCTAAGAGAACACACAGCCGTAGCGGTGCCTCTCAGCTTGAACCGTACCTCACTGAACTCTCTGCACTACTTAGATTCCCTAGGGACTCAGGAGATGTGGGCACTTCTCTCTTGCTGGTGAAGAACAAGACAGTAAGCACATGGCCCTGAGAGGCCCAGGTGACTTTCTGACATATTTCTGAACCCTCTGATCCTCAAGGCTGCCAGAGGCCAGACCACCCCCTTAGCTGCTGCAAGTCAGAGGGGCAAGCCTTGGGGCTGCCAGGGGATGTGAAGGGCATTATGCTCTAGTCCCACCCTGTCACAGTCCTGCCATACCCACTCCAAATCTGCTCCATAATGTCCCACATCCTAGGGGGCAGGGGCCAGATGAGGATTCCTTTTAACTAGGGGAACTCTTACCTGTAGCCCTCATAACCACTGTAAATCCCCTTGGTGCTGCTGGGGTGGAGCACAGTGGGTCCAGGCATGGGAAAGCTATGATTAAATTAACCTGCTACGTTGGCAGTAATCCCATTTCACAAATGGGGCCACTGAGGCACAGTGCAATGAAGTGACAAGCTCCAGGTTGCACAGTGAGGCCAGGTCTACCCTACAGATTTCTGCCAGCTTAGCTCTGTCTGTCAGGGGGGTGAGATGGGATCCCTGACTGACAGAGCTGGGCTAGCAAAAGAGCAAGTGTAGATGCAGTTATACCAGAAAAACTGATTTTACCAGTCTAGCTTATTTTGTTTGGGGGGTTGGATGGTGGTGCTGGAAAATAAGCTATACCAGCAAAAGCACAGCTTTGCCAGGTTAAGCTGCGTCCACACTAGGAGCGCTTTGTGGGTATAGTATACTGGTACGGCTATCCCTGGAAAAGCGCTCCTATAGTGTAGACGTGGCCTGAGACAGTGGCAGTAAGGCATAGAACCCAGCAGTCCTGATGCCCCCTGGCTGTCTGCCTTAATCACAAAATCACCTCTCTCTTCTGAACACCAGATGATCACTTCTTTGCAAAGCCACAGGATTTCTCAGGGTTTGCTGGAGGAATGAGACCCAGGCAAGAGGTGACATCCAGGTCAGCATGTTACTGAGAGCATTCTGTGAGGATTCCAAAAACGCTTCCCATTTCCCTACACTGTATTTATACACTGAATTAGAGGCAGCTTTTCAAAAACCATCCAGCTCCTCCCAGTACACACTCTCCCTCCATGCAGAATAACTCACGTAGCAGACTAAAACCCAGTCAAGGGAGTACAGCATCCAGGATTTTCCTCACCAACTTTTCTATCCAATGCACTAGTGTATTTGGGACACATAGGGGGCCTCATGCTCCACGGGGCGAGAAAGAGTCCTGTTCCATTCCTAGACCCCACCTTGTGCTCCCTAAGGGAGCAAGCACAGAGGGTGCTGTAAGACCAGCACACATTGGCAGTGGGGAAGAAACAGTGTGATGGATGTAGCAGGACAGACTCAGTCCTGTGCTCTATACTAACTCTATCAGCATGTAAGGGCCAAACTGTATTGCAAGGAGCTGGGGCAGAATTCCCCATTGCATAGGGCCACTTAGGCAGCCCTATGTTGCACCCCTCCCCCCGCTTTGTAAGTCTTTGCGCAAACAGTGTGTAGGGGCAGGACGGGTGGGTGGGACAGGGAGCACATAGAGGGTAGAAAGGGGAATCGCCACAGTGCACACCACTACGAAGATTTGGGACTGCTCCAGACTGTAGAACAGCCCTCTGGGAATTCTCAGGAAGCTGCTGTAAATTAGAGCACCTTTGAGGCTGCTCTAATCTACACCAGTGGCCATTTCAGCCCCTAGAGCAGCCCAGAATCCTGGGGATGGACGAGTATGATCAAGCCACCTGTCCTCCTCTTCCTGCAGGTGCAGCACAGGATAGGTCCCAGGATGCAGAGACACGGAAGGAAGCCAGATTCTGGTGTCAGTTACAACTCGTATTAACTCACATGGAGCCATGCTGGATTTCCACTGGTGTAACAGAGAGCAGAGTTGGCACAGGGAGCTGACGGGTAAATGAGACGGTGTAATTCTGACACCAGCACTGTCCTGGCCATGATTTCACTGTCAAGTGACAGTTATGGCAGAGTGCATTGTGGCATTAGACAGCTGCAGAGTAGAGCTGATTCTGAAGCCCTTAAAACTGAGCCACAGCACAGGTGGCTGCTGTGGATTGTAGTTCATTTGGTTACAAGTCAGTGATAGCGACAGCCCAGAAAAGAAGAAAGATCCTGTGGGACACCACACCAGCACACCCAGAAGTCTAGGTGCTGCCTGAGGAGCAAGATAAAATCTAGACGTAAGAAAAGAAGCAAGGCCTGAAAAGGGAGTTGTCATAAATATAAAGGGAAGGGTAACCACCTTTCTGTATTCAGTGCTATAAAATCCCTCCTGGCCAGAGGCAACATCCTGTTACCTGTAAAGGGTTAAGAAGCTCAGCTAACCTGGCTGGCACCTGACCCAAAGGACCAATAAAGGGACAAGATATTTTCAAATCTTTGGGGAGGGGGCGGGGGGGAGGGGGTGGAAGGCTTTTTTGTTTGTGCTCTTTGTTTACGTGGTTGTTCTCTCTTGGGACTTAGAGAGGCCAGACAGAAATCCATCTTCTCCAACCCATCCTAGTCCAAGTCTCCAATATTGCAATCAGTATAGGTAAGCCAGGCAAGGCGGATTAGTTTATCTTTTGTTTTATGTGAATTTTCTCTGTGTTAAGAGGGAAGTTTATTCCTGTTTTCTGTAATTTTAAGGTTTTGCCCAGAGGGCGATCCTCTGTGTTTTGAATCTGAATACCCTGTAAAGTATTTTCCACCCTGATTTTACAGAGATGATTTTTACCTTTCTTTCTTTCTTTTTTTTTTTTTTTAAATAAAATCCTTCTTTTAAGAACCTGACTGATTTTTCCATTGTTCCAAGATCCAGGGGTTTGGGTCTTTGATGATTTTGTAACAAATTGGTTAGGATATTATTCTCAAGCCTCCCCAGGAAAGAGGGTGTGTAGGGCTTGGGGGGATATTTTGTGGGAAAGACGTCTCCAAGTGGTCTCTTTCCCTGTTCTTTGTTTAAAACGCTTGGTGGTGGCAGCATACTGTTCAAGGACAAGGCAAAGTTTGTACCCTGGGGAAGTTTTTAACCTAAGCTGGTAAGAATAAGCTTAGGGGATCTTTCATGCGGGTCCCCACATCTGTACCCTAGAGTTCAGAGTGGGGAAGGAACCCTGACAGGAGTCAATATGGTGTAGTGAGGCAGAAGGAGCCAGGCATTCTGGATTCTGCTATTGGCTTTGTCACTGACTCACTTTCTGACATAATGTGACCAAGTGCCAATTTTCTGTAATATTTTTATTATGCCTTTGTGTGCCTCAGTTTCCCCATGTACTTTACATTGCTATCCAATGGTTGCAAAAAGGGTTAGAATGTGGCTTTTGGGGCAGAGCGGGGGACATGAGGTGCTGTGTCACTTCATTGTCTGGGGTGGAATGAATGGATTGTTAGAGGACTGGCTGTAAGTGACCCATATCAATGAAGCCTCCAGAAAGACAAAGGAAGCTGCACCGAACCGAACGACTGACATTGTCCCGGGAACATATGAACTCAGCATGGGTCAGCAGGAAGGGGATAAGTTTGGGTTCTTGGAGGGACTCTGCAGCTCTCTCTAAGGACTGACAGAGAGCCCGAAATGGAGTCCATGGCAGCTTGGCTGGCTGACTGGCTTGGCCAGTATGGACCATGTCTTAACCCGAGATTCTCTACACTCACCTCAGGACTAGCCGTTGCTGTGTTCCAGTCAACTAATAAACCCTGTGCTGTTTTAGAAAAGGCTGCCTGGTGTCACTGCAAATCCTCACAGACAGCCCTGAATGGTTACAGTACACGCCTCCTGCAGGAGTCCTGCTTGGCTAGACTTGCTGCAGGGAGCCACAGAAGGAGAAAGGGTTCTCTGGTGCCCGAAGACCCAGTTTCGGTGTCTCAGAGGCTGCAGCCCTGCCCTGTGGAATTGTGTGGGTCCTTGGGGCCCAGAACACTAAAAGGGTCACTCTCAAGGCACTGGTAATAGCCTGTGGCATGGACCAGAGTCTGGTCTCACTAGGTCTCAGTTTTCCCATTAACAAAACAGGGACAAGTCTACTGACCCAAAGTACTTTGGTCTCCTTGCAAGAAAGGTGCAACGTAAGTACAAAACATCGCTATTATGCCATTTCCTTCCCAGCTGGTGGTCTGGCAAAGGGGATTCACAGGTCAGAAAAAGGGTTTTTTTAACCAAAATAAAAATTCAGGGAAAATTTGTTCCAAAAATTTCTAATTTTCTCTGTATTTTCCAGAGGTTCAAAGCATTTAACGTACCCTGGCACCTGATGGTGATGAACATGATATCCAGCCTGTGGCTGAGACACTGGGCATATTTGAGAATCATAAGCCAGGACTTTGGTGGCTATTCACTTGTCTCAGGGGATCAGTGTGAGGGGTCCTAGGAAGCAATGGGCACTCACAGAGAGAAAAAATGAGCAATGCATATGTTCCTACCTCTGAGCATTCTCTCTGGTGAGATTCACAGCAGCTTCCTCTTTATCCACAGCTATCACCCGGCTCTGGCACAGAAGGAAACAAAATACACATTATATCACCAACATTACTGCTGTTAGCTGATGACTGGACATACAGGCTGTGGCAAAAGGGGCAAATGAGACAGATGATGCCAATATAATGTCTTGGAAAAGGTCTCTCTGTCTTTCTAACACCAAAATCAGATATAGCCCCTGAAGAATCCATCTTAGGACTTCCACGGAAGCAGGATACTTTGGGGTTGTGTAGTCACACAGGGCTGACCTTATCATGAGGCGAACTGAGGCAGCCGCCTCAGGTGGCAGACTGGGTGGGGGTGGGGGTGGGGGCCACTAGGACCCAGAGTGTAGAATATTGTGTCTGCTGCTGGTGCATATGTATTCTCTCTGCTCTAGATGCACAGAGATGGTGGAGTGCTGTGCTGGAGGAAGGAGGGCACAAGAGACATAACAGGCAGGCAGGAGAAAAGGTGAGAGGGAATAACAGAAAGCAGCAGGAGCGGCAGGGAGAGAGAAGAGGAGGAGCCTCTTATGTACCTCTCTAGCACCCACAGGAGCCTGGACTGATTAACACCAGCTTCTCAAGGAGCTTCCTGTTTCTGCTACTTCCCTGAACCCACTGGAGGAGAACAGGCAGTCAACTGAAGTAGTAGGAGCCCTTAAGACGCTGATATCCTCCCTCACTCAGGCCTGGCTACCAGCCTGCTTATTTGTCCCCTTCAATTGAGTGTTGAGAGCCACTATAGCTGGCACAGAACAGCAGTCATCAGTGAAAGAAGAAAACGCCCCTCTGGGGCAGCATTCAGAAAAAGAAAGAAAGCAAAGGAAGCTTTTCTATCGAAGCAGGAAGGAGCTCTCCTGAGATACATAGACACAAATGTTCACGGTGAGCCTTCTGGCCCCAGTGAGGATGTGAGTGGTGAGGAGATGCCTGATCTTCCAGTTAGTTAGAGTGCAGGTGACCTGGCAGCTTACTGCAGCATCCATATCTTCATCTCAAATGGATGTAACCATGCACATTCCTGAAGAAAAGTGTAGATCAGAGAAGACTGCGGTGGAGGTGCAAGCAACAGCTGCTGCTGAGTTTAGTTCCTTAAGTCTAGATGATCCAGGACTGTGGACCCACTTGAGCAGTAGCGTGAGGGACTTCCTTGTACTGCATGGGCCACAGCAAGGGAAAAACTTCATGTTCTCCAAAGACAATGAAAATAGAAGTTTCCATCCAACACATTACTGGCGTGGAATCCCCAATGGTGACAAAGTGGAGAGGCCATGGCTTATGTATTCAAAAACCCAGAATGCTGCATACTGTTTTTGTTGCAAACTCTTCCAGTCTAACGTTCCAGCCACATCGGGTTTGACAGGAACAAAGGACTGGAAAAATCTGGATAGAAATCTGGCATGCCACAAGAAGGCAGCAAATCACCAGAGAGCATTCCATAGGTGGAAAGAGCTTGAGATGAGACTAAGGTTAAAGGCCACCATAGATGATCAGCATCAAGAGAAGATTGCATCAGAGTCTCTTTTCTGGCAACATGTTCTGAAAAGGCTCATTGCTTTGTGAGAATGCTTGCAACTCAAAACCTAGCACGGCCTGGCACTTCAGATCAGCTGTATGTGCCAAACTAGGGAAACTTCCTTAAAATTGTGGAGCTGATGTCTGAGTTTGATGCTGTACTCCAGGAGCATCTAAGAAGAGTCACCACCCAAGAAATGTACACACACCATTACCATGGAAAAACAATTCAAAATGAGATCATACAGTTATTGGCAACAAAAGTCGAACAGAAGATTGTGGCAGATCTGAAGTCAGCAAGATAATATGCTGTTATTCTGGACTGCACACCTGACATCAGCCATATGGAACGAATGACTTTAATGGTGCGTTTTGTAACAACAACAGAACCTAGTCCCTGCAATGGTGACTGTCAGAGAGTATTTTCTAGAATTTATTGACATTGATGATACTAAAGGGGCTGGTATGACAAATGTGCTTCTTAAAAAGCTGGAAGACACGGGAATTGCGATAGCTGACATGAGAGGTCAGGGCTACGATAGTGGTGCCAACATGAGAGGAAAGAACAGAGGAGTGCAGACACGGATCAGAGAGTTAAACCCTCGAGCTTTTTTTGTCCCATGCAGTTCTCATTCATTGAACTTGGTGGTTAGTGATGCAGCATCAGCTTCTAGAGCGGCTGCTGAATTTTTTAATGTAATTCAAAACATCTATGTATTTTTCTCTGCATCAACTCATCAATTGCAAATTTTGAAGCAACATCTGGGAACATCCTCTCTGACACTGTAACCACTGAGTGCCACACGATGGGAAAGTCGAGTGGAGATGATAAAGCCTATCAAACACCAAATAGGGAAGATAGCTGATGCCATAGTTGACATTATGGAGGAAAATGCTATGACAGGAACTGTTTGTGGGAGAACAGTGGCAGAGGGAAACGGAATCACCAGAAACATACATAACTTCAAATTCCTGTGTGGCTTAGTGTTGTGGCATGACTTACTGTTTGAAATAAATGTTGTAAGCAAGATATTGACCTTGATATATCTGGAGCGATGAACAACTGGACAAAGCAAAGTCATACCTACAGTCTTACCAGTCAGATAAGGGATTTCAAAACGTTCTGAAGAGTGCACAGAAGTTGGCAGAGGAACTTGACACTGAAGCTATTTTCCCATCCATTCAAGAATACACGAGTCACCGAAGAAGATGACATTTTGATTACAAGGCACGAAATAATCCCATAAGAGACCCCAAACAACAATTCAAAGTTGAATTCTTTAACCAGCTTCTAGATTGTGCAATTCAGTCAGTTGAAGAACGTTTCATGCAGCTCAAGGAACAAAGCAGTATATTTGGGATGCTGTATGCTTATTCCATAACTCCTCACTATACCTGAAGAAAACCTACACAAGCAATGCAGGGCACTAGAGACAGTGTTGACACATGATGACATGCACAATATTGATGCGAGTGATTTAAGTGATGAACTGAAAGCCCTTTCAAGATACATTTCAGCAGGATCAACTCCAAAGGCTGTTCTGGAATATATGTGCACAAATAAGATTACCACCCTCTTTCCAAATGCTTTTGTTGCTCTGCGCATACTTCTAACACTTCCTGTAACAGTTGCCAGTGGAGAACGCAACTTCTCCAAGCTGAAGTTAATAAAAACACATCTACGCTCCACAATGACACAGGAGAGGCTGGTCAACCTTGCAACCATCTCAATAGAGCATGAGCTGGCCCAGACTGTGGACCTTCAGGAAGCAGTTCAAAACTTTGCAACCAAGAAGGCACTGAAAGCACCACTTTGATTATTCAATGCCAGTGTTTACTATGCAGACAAGAAAAGTTACATTTGCTGTTCAGGGGTTTGAAAGTTAAGTGTTCCTTAACATTTTTGAACAAGGCATTTTAAGTTATTAGTGCTCCTTTATTGGGGTAGGTAGCAGAGCAGTACCATGAGAGGAGTAGAACAGGAAGAAGGCAGAATTGAGACCTTTCAAAATTTTGGCCCAAGCGAGGGGGCATGGGGGCGTCATTTGAGCTCCCCGCCTCAGGTGCCAAAACGTTGTGGGCCGGCCCTGCGCTTGTAGCTAGGCCTTCAGCATGACTGAATATTTTCATTACCATTGCTAGCATTTTACCTTAATAAAAAGTCTTAGGGCCAGACCTTCTGCTGGTGTGAATCAGATGGAGTCAGAGGAGCTACACTGATTTGCATCAGCTAACGACCTAGTCCTAAATATATCTGTGATTCTGGCAGGCCAGGTGCCAGCTCATGCCAAGGCCCCTAGGCCACACTGAATATTGACAAATGCATAGCTGGAAACCAATCTGGCTCACCTGTGTGTTAGCATTGTTAAAACAGATGTTAAGTTTTTATAAATGTATTGAGTGTTTGGACTTAATAAAATGCTTATGACTTGCTGCCTGCATTAATCTCACTTATAATAGCTATTATTGGGAGATGGTAATAGTTAAGTGTTTGCTATGAAACTGGAAACCCCCACTGTCAGGAGAGAAGCATTACCAAGTGTGAGATACCAGTTTACCACAAGAGGTGAGATCTCCTACCCAACAAAAGAAGGCCTATAGACACCAGATGAACCACTGTGGAACGTCCGCAGACAAAAAGACTTTCCTGATTGCTCCCCCCGACACCCAGGAAGAGGGGACATGCACAAACCCTCATCCCATAACAGTTTGAAATCTGGGAAAGGGAATAAAAATCTCTGATCAGAAGGCTGCGTGTCCCTATGCTGTTTGAACTTCAGTGAGGAGGCAAGACTTCTAAGCATAAGCAAGGGATCCCCAGCTGTTTAGTTTGGGTTAGCCCTAAAGGACATCTAGAGCTTGCAAATTACAGCAGCTTCTATTGCCTTTCGAAACCTAAGACTGTAACTCAAGTGTGTGTTTACCTGCTTTAATCTTGTAAATAACTCATTTATTTTTCCTAGTTAATAAATCTTTAGTTAGTTTATCACAGGACTGGCTACAAGCACTGTCTTTGGGGAGAGTTCTAAGGTACAATTAACCTGGGGTAAGTGTCTGGGACAAGAAGTAACCTGAATATTATTATGATTTTTGGTGTAAGAGACCATCTGTCACAACGGCAGACTTGTCTGGGAGGCAAAAGTGCCCAAGGGGACAGTCTGTGACTCCAGAATAAGGCTGTTCTAGTGCTTTAGGAGTTCACAGTTGATATTCTGTTGGCAAAATCTAATTATACAACATGTAACCAGTTTGGGATTTGTGCTCCAATTTGTAAGGCTGCCTTGAGGCTGGCACCCATGTTTGTGAGCCACTCCAGACAGCTTGACAGTATCAACTGGTAAACTGGGACAGTGCAGCCCAGCAGCGAGTGAGGGGTAGAGAGGGAAGAGCTTCATAGGTTCCTCATGTCTGATGCAGAAAGAATCCATGCCCTAAGGAATCCACTCCAGATTTAAAAGGAGATACACTGTATGCTGGGACAGGTGACCTGGGGTACACAGACTGTTCTGCGGAGAGCTCTATCCTTGATATAACCATACATGACAAGTTGCTAGTTCTTTATCTTAATGCAGCACTTTAGGGCCAAATTCTGTCTTGATGTACATGTCATAGACATTAGTATGGTTGTGTGGTGTGTAAGCCTGCACAGATCTAAGCTGGTGTATTCACTCAAGGCTCATGTATGTTGGCCATTTGGGGAAGGGCTGACGTAACATATAAGGACAGACTGACACAGTCATTTATGTCTGAAAGGCAAGGAGAGCAGCGTGGTGCTTGAGTAGGGAAACCAGAGCAATTTATAATTTGGCCTAGTGAAAACTAAACATCAGCCCAACAGGTCACCGGGCAAAGGGACTTGAGCTACAGGAATGACCTTCCATAGACCTTACAAACTAACCCTCGATGCTTCTTCTCAGTGGCGTGCCAGGACAGTTTTATTAAGGCATGCAACAACTCACTGGCACACCTTAGGCATCCAAAATAGTGTCATCCATGCCACGTGACCTCGCATGTACCATATGGGCCAAGGTGATGCTGTTTGGAGTTGTAGTGGGGTGGTCACCCGCTCCGGCCTTGAAGGGCTTAAAACAACCAGGAGAGGGCTGTGGCTAGGAGCAAGCAGTTCCCAGGCTGATTGGGGAAGCAGGCTCACCTGTGGCCATGCCCCAATCAGGGCTCAGCTGTCCCTTATAAGAGGGCAGTGGGCCAAGAGCAGACAGAGTCTCCTCTAGCTGTGGAGGGAGATCGGCCTGGCTGCTGGGGAGTGTACCAGGGTATCTGAGGTGAAGCAGGGCTGGGGAAGGCCAGAGGAGCTGGGAGACTCCGGACTAGAAAAGCCCCTGGCTGTAGGCTTGGCAGACGGCCTAGGGTAGGTACTGGGATTGCAGGGGGCAGCCCAAAGGTAGGCAGAGGCAGCAGGTCCAAAACCCCCTTGCCTGTGATGATTGGTTTATACACTGCAGTCCGCCCCAGTGTGTAGGGGCTCAGTGGTCACTGGCAGTAGCCAAAGACTGAGGCGAGGTGGGGATAGTGAGTGAGGGATCCCTGGGGAAGGGAGACCCAGGGACTGTGGGGGTACTGCCAGCGGGCAGCACCCTGGATAAAAGGGACACCGGGGTCCAGGAGGGACACGGGGGCCAGCAGCAAGAGGGACACCGGCCTGCAGAGGGCACTCTGGAGGCTGGAAGAGCTAATTCCCTGAGAGACCAGCAGGAGGCACCGCAGGGGTGAGTCTTGCACCGTTACAGGAGGACACGATTTTGTTCTACCAAATGGTGTCCTCCATCATGAGAGCTGGATGGAGTTATTCTGCGGACCGGATGCGGCCCACGGGCCACCAGTTGGACAACACACTGTTGGTCAGCTTGCAAAGTGTGCCTTGCATACATAAACGGCATACTACTGATTCTTCTTCAAGGATGATAATCAGCCTGGATGAGTCTGAGGGATGAACTGATGACCAGATCTGGAGCAAGGGAAGGCCTTTTTCTCTCCACAGCATGTGGGTGGGGTCATTCTTTCCCTCCTGGAGCACTGAGCAGGGATTATTCACTGTGGTCTGGGTTGGGGTGGGATATATCCCAACCTGAGACTGAAGGGGGCTTTAGTCACTTATAGATCCCAGTCCTTCCCGTGACTTTGTTTCCTCCTTGACCGGTGAGGAATTATGTTACTGGGGAAGGGACAGGCACCAAAATGGGCTCTTGGCAGTGATCAGGTAGCTCGTGAACTGTGACTACTGCTCATCGCATTGCTCATAAATGCCTCATTCTTTCCTTGTGCTCTTTTGTCTGTCTGTATCCACCTGTTGTCTCTTGTCTTATACCTAGACTGTCAGCTCTTTGGGGGCAGGGACCATCTTTTTGCTACTTGTCAGTACAACACCTGGTGCAATGGGACTCAGTGCTACCATAATACAAAGGATGAAAAGCTCACCCACCGTGGGCAGTTTGCTCAGTAAACTCAGTGCAATGGCCCCTGAGCCACAGCCGATTTCCAGGATCACCGGGTGAGAGACAACAGTGGGGCACTGGTGACCCACATTAACTGCAGGGCTCCCGTTCCTCTGGATTTCTTCTTCCAACACCAAGGAGACAAGATCCTAGCAGAAAAGGAAAAGTGAGCTGTTTCTGTGGGAGTCTGATGATGACTCAAACTAACACCCAAGAGCTGGGGAAAAGGAGGGTGAAAGAGCCCCATTTCTCACCTTTGCAAACAAATCAAATGCATCTTTGTATTTTAAAAAAAGCAACACATGCCAGCAGCAGGACTGAGATCCCAGAAACAACTTCAGCTCCACATAGTGCTTTGACTGTAATCAAATCTGCAGGTGCCCTACAGATCCTTTGATATCTTTTAGGGCATTTGAAAAGAATAAGCAGCAGGAACACACACACGTTGCCTGTCCCCCATTTCTTTTGCCACAATCATTAACTTTTATCTCTGAAAGCCTCACTACTCACCAGTCTTAGCCTAGCCTTGTCCGAAACTTTACTCATGGTTTGAAATCCCTTAAGACCAACCCCTAAAGCACTAAGCCAACCAGCAAATCGACAAGAAATACAGTAAATGGCCCAATCAAGTAGGCTTCCTGTTTTGGCTTGCATTGCACAACTACAAATGCTGGTTTGTTATTGCAGGGTCACACTCAGGAATGGCTGGTTGTTAGCATGGATTTTTATTTTATTTTGACAAGTCAGCACTAGGATCTTTATTGTGAATCACATATAAAAACCCACAACAAAGAACTGTATGGATTTTGCCAACAGGTATATGAGCAGAAAGATGCTCCAGGGTAAATTACAGGCCTCCCATTCTAACTAGCAGCATTTTATGTGAATCCAGTGTGACAAAGTTCCTCCTCTACCTTGGTGGGTCTTGCGCTTATTGGTTGCTCGACCATCTGGCCAGACCCTGTCACACCATAAAGTAACAATGAGTGACTGGTGGGAAGGTCAAAGTCCTTTATGTAAAATGCTAGATTTTTCTCAGGAGCCAGCACTGAGCTGCCTGCAGAGTGAACCCTATTTGCATGGACATCCCAGTATTTTCCCACACCCTGCTCTGGAAATCAGGCCTAAAGTGGATTAGAGAGCACAGGAGGCCTCAAGCAAAACTGCTTGGTTCATCTGCCTTTGCTGGTTATTCCACACCACAGACCAGTTTGTTGCATCACAGCAAGCTGGTGTGGAAACAGCTAAGATGTTGCAAACAGGTGAAGAAATAAGTAGCTGTGGCAGACGAGCCCTTAAGAAACAAAGATCCTATTTCCATGCAGCAAGCTATCCCTAGCAATAAAGGAAGACGAGCAGGTGAAATACCTGGGAGAGGTCAGTTGCCTTCCTAAGAAACCTCCAGAAACATTTTTGTACAATGCATGAGCTGCTCTTCAACCCATTAAAGAAAAAATCCACATACACTGTGTCCCAAGCGAGAACTGGAGCTTGTAGCTGATGAGCAGCCTGGCTTGTTTCAATGTTCCCCTGACCTGGACCTGACTGTGGGAAAGGCAGTTTGACTGTCCCATTTTTAAAGGGAGCTCCTTGTCTGTGGATTCCTCCTGCAACAGGGTAAAAGCACATGCAGGTGTACTCAGGACGCAGTGTATGAGGGTCTAGCATGCCTCTGGCCAGGTCTACACTACAAAGTGGCATAACTACATTGGTCAGCAGTGTGAAAAAACTGCCCCCCAGCCAACAGGAAAACCCCCCAGTGTAGATGCAATTTGGCTGATATCTTGGCTCCTGTCAACCTAGCTAACGTCATTCAGGGAGGTGGTGTAAATATGCTGCCAGAAAAACTTCTGTCGGCATAAGGTGCACCTTCATTAGCGGACTCTGCCAATATACCTATTCCAGCAAAGCATGTGTTGTGCAGACAAGACCCCTCTCTTGGAGCAGAATCAGCTGGTTTTGAGGAGGCTGGCTGCAGACGTGAAGCAGCACCCTTCCTTGTGTCCTCGGAAGGGGTTAGTACCCAGAAAGCTTGGTCAGCAAGAGTGCCCTTGCATGCTGGCCGTCTCTGATCACTTACGAAAGGGCTATGCTTACAGGAACACTCCAGTGTGACAAAGAGGAGACAATCACAGGGAGTGAGTACAGAGCAGTAGTTCCTTCTTATCCTATGCCTCAATGATCTCGTATTGCCAGAGTATTTCCTCATGAAGCTCTTCCAGGTCTCTCTCCAACAACAAATGCTGTTGCTCACTGTTTTCTTCTTTTGCCCTCAGGCGGGCATATTCCTGGTCCAGTTTTATGGATTGAGCCAAGACACTGTCCCTGGAGGAATGTATCTCTTCCAACTTGGCCTACAAATCCGTCTGGACTTGGCTGACCTGAAGACTTATTTCCTTGAGCCGGCTGTTCACTATCTCATTGTTTCTCTGCTTCTCCATCGGCACCACTTCTTCTCTAGGTCCAGCGCTCCTTGATCCCAGATACTAGCAGTTCCCACTATCAGACCATCTATGTTGTACAGTGCCTGGCATTTGCCATATTTATGAGCTGCTAGTTTCTCCTGCATTTGGATCATCTCAGCATTCATCTGCGCATGCAGATGCTGGTGCTGCTTCTTTAACTGCAGGGCTTCATGGAGGCAAACCCAGATTTTTCTCTGAAGAATGACATACTTGTTTTCCAGTGTGTTGATTCACAGCCACAACGAAGTGGCTTCTCTCCTTCTCTGCAACCAGCTCTTTTTGCCTGTCTTCTAGTAGCTAGATTTGTTCGGCCAGTTTCAATAAGAACCCAGCATCTAGGACTGCAATATCACCTAGGACTGTTTCAATATCACCATCTGAACCCTAATGACACCCACTTCCCGGGACCTTTGACTGCCTCTAAGTCTTTGCCCTGGTTCTCCCAGTCTGGGAACCCCGCTGTCCTTTGGAGTAACTAACTGTGTCTTTTTCAGGCTCCTATATCAGGTTACTCAAGATCCTACAACCCTCATGCTGTGAGGATGACAAATAAGTCAAAGCATCCTCGGCAAGTTGGAAATAATCTGAAACCCATGGCTGACCTCTGTCCCTGAAGCTTGCCCCCCAGGCTTGCCCACAACTTCAGTATCTTTTCTTCGGTGAGAGCCCCCTGGTCCAAAGTTCTTAGAGGGCAGCATCTTCTAACAGGCCCCTTTTCCCCCACACTTATTTACAAGTTACCCCCAGGTTATCACTCTTCCTTACCCCACACTGTGTCCCCTCAGTCCTTTGTTCAGTTTCTGCAGATGTCTGGGTCCCAATATCCTTAATAGTCCAGACCGGCCCAGGTGCCTCAGTGTCCTGTCTTGGTCAGCAATCCAGATAGTCTCTGGTTTCACAGGGGCAGACCCAACCTACATGCCCATCTTGGCAACAGCCAGTGCACCTGACTGGCAGGACCGCATGTCTCCTCCCCTTTCAGCTTTTAGGATGGGCCAGCCTGTCCAATCGCTACCCTTGCTGAACCTACCACCTCCCCCCACACCATGCCAGGGACCAGAAGGTCTGGGGTCATCACTGTTTTCTGTCCCCCAGCCTGGGAGGTTGGACGTCTCACAACCAGGGCGAGCACAGGCACCTCTCTGCATTCTCATCCCTCCTTGATGGCAGGGCATTTTCAAGTCCATATCCAAGCACCATAAGTAAAAGTATGGGCTGTCCCTACAGGCTCCCTTGTGGCGCAGTCCGGTGCTGCAGATGTGCCCCACCTTGACTCCTCCTGATTGGGATGTCAATAGATTCACTTGAACAGCCCAAGATGGGGTGGAAGCTGGGAAAAGGAGAGGCCAACACACTAACAAAAAAGCAAGTTATCTTTACATAAGGCTTCAAGGCAGGAACAATTACAATAAACAAGTCATAAAGCCCTCACCTCAGAGCCCTGCTTATGCTCCCAAACTTAATGTTCACAATCAAAGACTCTAGTTAGGTCAATTTCCTAGAGCCTGAGCAGAAACAACCCCACTGCCCTCCTGAAGCCTGTATGGCTTCTGCTCCTCTCTCTTGCTCTGCTTCCTCTTCCTGTTTACATAGCCCAGCCCTAGGGTGGGGAAAAGCCTCCTGGATTACCTCCAGGCTGCCCTAGCTGTAGGCTCCAGACCATCCCTCAAAGGCGCAGTATTCTCCTTCACAGACCCCATCCCAGGGCAAGCGCCCTGGTATTTAATTTGGGAAATATGCTCACCTGGGAGAAATCAGCTCTCATGTGAATACACAGCCAGGAGACTAAAGGTTTGTCTACACAGGGAAATTGATCAGCATTGCTATAGCAGAATAAGGGTATGCCTACATGACAATTAAACATGTGTGGCTGACGCATGTCAGCTGACTCAGGCTCACTAGGCTCAGGCTACAGGGCTGTACAATTGCAACAGAGATGTTTTGGCTCGGGCTGAAGCCCGAGCTTTAGGACCCCACGAGTGGGGAGGGTCCAGAGCTTGGACTCCAGTCCGAGTCTGAATATCTACACTGCAATTTTAAAGCCCCACAGCCTGAGCCCTGCGAGTCCGTGTCAGCTGACAGAGGCCAGTGATGGCAGTTGCATTGCAGTGTAGCCTAATTGTTCCTCTAAAGTTGTGTCAATATAACACCCCACCGAGGACACAATTCCAGAATAAAAGTGACTTTATTCTAGAATTCCAGAATAGAGTGTCCACAAATGGGAGTTATACCGGGATAGCTATAGCAGGATATTCCTCTACAGCTGTGCCAGTCAATTTCCCTAAACAGACAAACCCTTGGCAAATAGGCTTGTATTCAGATGGAAATTTCATTCCCCAGATCCTACTCTACATCATCAGACTGGAGCTTCCGGCTAGGAAGTAGCATTAAAATGGAAGTATTAGAGACGCCAGCACTTGACATAGAGAAACTGAGCACAAACCTCACCACCTTGCACTCCAAGTACAAGCTACATTTCTTTGACCTTATATTCCCTAACATAAATATACAGCCATATGTATACTAACCCCTTCCCTCCTAAATACTATCAGAAACCCCTCTCCACTGCACATGCTGCTCCCCTTTGGGAGAGGCTGAGAAAACAAACATGTGACAGGTTTTAGGTTGCTTAAGGAAATACTGGAAAGTGCTCAAATACTTTGGTGATGAGCACGCTATAAGAA